CCTGATCCGTATCTGGAGAGGCTGAAGATTTGAACCTGGGAACGTCTGCATACGAAGTGGAGGTCCTACCACTGAGCCATGGCCCTTCCCCTCATGGGGGGATAGTTGGGGGGATAGAAAGGGTCGGCCGAATTTCTGTGTGCCTCTTTGTATGGTCGCTGCTGCTGCTGCTTTTTGTTTTTTGCTGCCCACCAATGCATGTTGTGCTTCACAGAGGAACATGAGGGTTGTTGGGGGTTTTTTAAAAAAATGACCCTGCTCCAAGAATCTTGCTGTCTAAATTTTGACCGAGGGGACAGACAGAGGTACAAATACTGGGGAAAGAAAGTAAGCAGGGGTCGTTTCATAGAAGAAGAGCTAGGGGAACTCATTAGCATAACTCATTAGCATATGCCACACCCCCTGACATCAGGGGCCCGGCGGTGGACCTGCAAGGCCGGCGGGAGTGCGAGGAAGCCCCGCGAAGGCCCTCCCTGGCCCCAGGCAGGCAGGGGTGGGGAGAGGTGGGGAGGAAGCAACTTACCCTCCCTCTTCTCCTGCCTCCTCCTGGCTGAATGAGGGCTGGAAGCGGGGCGGCCGGAAGCAGGGGGCGGGGCTTCGTCATGTGCCCCGCCCCCTGCACCTCACCCGGGGGAACTGCGATCCCCCGTGATCCCCCCTGAAATGACCTCTGAAAGTAAGGGGTATGTACTGAGGTAATGCCCCCCTGACCTGGGTGGCCCAGTCTAGCCCAGCCTCATCAGATCTCGGAAGCTATTCAGGTTCTGCCCCGATTAGTGCTCGGATGGGAGACCCTCAAGGAAGTCCCGGGTTGCTCCACAGAGGCACACAGTGGCAAACCAGCTCTGTTCGTCTCTTGCCTTGAAAGCCCTGCGGAGGTCCCCATCAGTCAGCTGCCACTTGATGTCGCTTTCCACCACCATACTCCGGTAATGAGAAGGGAGGCATGTTCTAGGGAAGGGAAGAGAGAGAGAGAAGAAGGACCACGTGGATAGATTTTGGCAAGCAGTTTGACCTGTGACGGGGAGTGCCCCATGTCCCGAGGATTGTATATGCAGATAGTAAACTAACCCTGTTGGCAGGGAGGGGCATGTGTGTAGGTCTGGCCAAAGTTAATGGTAGGGAAGGTATGAGGAAGTTGCTAACATTGCCATCCAGTGTTGAGGACCAGGCCTCTTTGCCTTCACTGGCCTGGATATCAAGTAGTTTATATCGCATACTTTGAACAGATCTCATGGAGGGGCTGTGGCTTAGTGGTAGAGAAAGTGCTTGCCATGCAGAAGGTTCTAGGTTCCGTCCCCGTCCCCCCCAAATCCTCAGAGAATAGGTGATGTGAAAGACCTCTGCCTGAGACCCGGGAGAGCCACTACCAGTCAGAGTTGAGAATACCTACCTTGATGGACCAGCAGTCTGAATCAGTATAAGGCAGCTTTGTGTGTCCATGAGTATCTCTTACTGAAAGCTTTGCTGTTCGATGTTTTGTACTGGTGAGGTAATTTCTAATAATTAAAAGGTCTGTCACACACTCATTTAGGATCACCCAAAATCTCAAAAGCCAGCATACAGAACTCTCCAGAACTTTTCATCAGTCTGGATGTTAAGAAACGAAATGGGTATAGTGGGGAGGAAAGAAGATTTTCAACCTTCATTTTAAGGACTCTTGACTGCATCCCGTAGGGAATGCCAGGGAGATTTGAACAGATAGTGCTGGTTTGAGCTGGTATTCAGTTACATATTTGGTCTTTCAGGAAGAAGGATGGGGAAATGGCAGCCTCAGACTGAAAATATGAAATCCAGTAATGGATGAAATGTGTCTGTACAACCAAATAGAACACACATGTTTTCAGATCGCCCGTCACAAAGATACTTGCCCTGGGACCAATTTTCAGCATTCCGTTGAATTATAGACAAGCTGAATTCCTCCAGACTTTGCTACCTGTCATGAGACTTTGCAGTTTCAGCTCAGTTGATTCCCACCCCCAAGATTCTGGCTTGCCAGGTTTCCTGAGCGCCTGGCTTGACGTAACACTCATATATTGAAAATGCACTGTGCATGCATAATAGAAAACAGTAGTCCCATATCTACCAGCCGCTGTGCTGTTAAGAGTTTAGGTGCCACCATCTTGAATATGAATATGGTGTAATCTTGTACGTATGCAGGTGGCTCATGAATGCAGGGTTTCCATACATGTGCAAGAAGTGTTTTATGGTCATTTGTGGGGGGAACAGTTGGGACTGAGAGTTGTTTGAGGTTGTGTTCAAGTCTTGGAAAAGCTGCAGAAGGTGTTACCTGAGCACTGCCAACAAAATAGTGCAGTCTTAGCCCATCCCTTAACATAGACACAAAGTTCTTGCTGAGAGCCGTTACAAGTTTTTGTTTTTCCTTCAAGGTTGCAAAAGTGGGCTATTCTCCAGGTGTCTGCATTTAGAAGCTAGTGTTTTTTGGTGTGTTTTTTTAAAACTATGACTGCTGGATATTGTGTTGCAGTTGCCTAGTGGGTACCAGTCTCCCAGAAAATGTTATAAGGGGACCTCCCTTTTCCTACAAGCTTTTTCTCCCTATTTCTTGTCTCATCCTGTTAAATGCCTCTCCACCTCTCCCATGGGAAATAGAAATCAAAGTGTTTAATAAAAGGTGAAACTGCTCGCACCGTGAAGTTCCAAAGTGAGCAGAAATCCAATTTGATATATTTAGAAGTGACTAGTCAATGTGGATGTTTCAGTGCTGAATTTCCAGTTAAGGGTGATGTCATTTTTCAAGAGAAGAAAAGGGTTTCTTTTTTTAAAAAAAATGCAAACTAGAAATTCTGATCTTTATCTGTGTCTGAAAGTGACCCACAATGATTGTTGGATCCAGAATACATAAAGCCATGCTTCTAACAGGATCTGAGGTAGGGACAGCCAAAATCAGTTTCTCCAAGGCTTAAAAGGGACCTATGAAGCTGCCTTATACTGACTCAGACTCTTAATGCATCTAGCTCAGTCCTGTCTCCTCTGAGGTGGAAGTCACTCTCCAGGATCTCAGGCAAAGAAGCTTTTTTCTAACGCCTGCAAACTGTGATCCTTCAACTGGAGATGCCCGGGCACTTCTTACATATAAAGCTGGTGCTGTAGCACTGAGTCATAGCCCTTCACCAAACCTTCCCCAGCTTCTGTTTAATGTGGCTAAAACACTGGGATTCTCCTCCCCAAGCGTTTCTGCTTCAACGAGGCTGACAAATAACTGAAGTTCACATCTGTTTTCTGATTATTAATTTTAAAGAAAAGCTTTTGTCATTTTTTAAACAGTAGTTTGGCTGTGTTCTTGAATAACCACTGCTGACAGTTGGGTCACAGATTTAGCAAATAAAGTGAATATGTGAAGCTGCTTTATACCATTCCAGATCATTGGTCTGTCAAGACTGGTACTCTGGACTGGCGGCGGCTGTTTCATACAGAAGGTTTTTCGCAATACTTCTGTCTGAGAAACTTACGATAGATTCTGGGACCATCTGAATGCAAAATGTCCTCTCTGTTTGAACTGAGCTTTTAGTGGTGCAGGGCCTACATTCTTCTCCTCCTCCTTCTTTGTATAGAAGGATTGAAATCCCCAACCATCACAGCAAAACCACTGCGTTTTAAGAGTGGGAAGTATGAATGCACTAGCTGGAACCTGACCTTGATGGCTCAATATAGCCCAGTCTCGTCAGACCTTGGAAGTCAAGCAGGGTCATCCCTGTGTTTGGATGAGAGACCACCAAGGAAATCCATGGCTGCTACGCAGAGGCAGGCAATGGCAAACCGCCTCTGAGCATCTCTTGCCTTGAAAACACTCTGGAGTTGTCGTGTTGGTTGCAACTTGATGGCAAAAAAAAAAAAAAGGCACCTTGCATGGTTTCTCAGAAGTTCTGTCTTCTAGGGAGGAAGTCTGAGTGTCCTTACGTTTTCTTCAGATTCTCCTCGTGCTTTACCAAGTTAAGATAAATAACATCCTGGGGACTTAGGTTCCATTGGGTAGCCATGTTAATCTGTAGTCGTAAAACAAATTTTCCAGGGTATAAGCTTCCATGAGTCAAAGCTCACTTCATCAGATCATGGTGAGAAGCTGCGTATGGATAACAATGAAACGAGATGGAAAGGAAAAACAGCCCCAATCTTTGCTTGATGTCCTTGCAAGGGAGTGAAAGTGGACTTCTAGGGCTGTGTGAAGTAGCAGATGGAGAAGTGAATGGGACCATGTTGGAGGTTATAGCCAGGTTAAAAATGCAGACTAAAACCCATATCCCCTCCCCCAAGACTGGATGAAATATCTCAGTCACCTGCTGGTCCCTTAAAAGGAATGCATGCTGCTTTCCTAGGAATTTGAAACATTTCCCCCCACCCTGCTAACTTCCTGAGTAAATCCCAAAGCCAACAGGCTTATGCATCCTCCTAGGCTATGAAAAGGGTAGAGGAGAAGTTACAATGGGAAGCCCCATCTTAAGGAGAAAGCTGTGTGATGGCTTCCCGGCCATGTTAAGAGGTGCCCAAGATTATATCTTATTTTGTGCTTTATCTAATAGATATTTTAGATTATACTTGCCGGTCCTTTGGAATGTTTTGATTAAAAATACTTCGGGTGGGAAATGTGTTTTGGGGTTTTTTTTAAGTACAGTGGAATTTTCCCTTTTGGTGAGAGCTTACTCCTGTCTAATACAAGTCCTGAGCTGCAGTCATGGTTCCATGGCAATGCAGAAATCAGTAGAACAGGTCGTTCCACATTGCAGGCCATCTCTCATCTGGGTCCTGTACTCTTTGCTGGCTAATCTCTGCAGAGAAAGTCTGTGTTGCCCATCTCCATGTCTTACATCCTGTAAGAGAATGGATTGTTTGGTGGGTGGAGCGCAGAAGGTGTGTGAGCATCCAGTCTCCTCTCCATTGCGTTTGGGGAGAGAGTGCATTCTCTCCAGAGGGGTGGCTGTTTGTTTGTGTGTTAATCTGACACGTTTGTCTAAATTCATCTTCTTGTGTTTGGCATTCAGGGCGAGGAAGGCCCTCCCAGTCTGGAGTACATCCAGGCCAAGGACTTGTTCCCCCACAAAGAGCTGATTAAAGAAGAAGAATCTTTACAGGTAAGCTGCCTAGGGGGGCCTTAGCAAGTGGGACTGTTTGCAGTGCAAACCTGGGTGAAGCTTAAGGCCAGAAGGGGACCACATGTATAGGGCAACTTTTTGCAAGCACATGAATGCCTTTAGACATACAGGGAGAGACAGCTACCTCGCAGGTGCCATTCGAGGCTTGTTTGTCCACAGCCTCCTCTAATCTAGGTCCTTCTGTTATGCTTCTCCTACTTGGAGGCATCATAGGAACCCAGGCACTCTCCCAAAATAATGTTGGTTTGCCACAGTAGCCGTTACAGTACCTTTTCCCTGCAAGACACTGCAGGTTTGTGAGGGGGGGAAAATACTGTTAAATACTAGGCGAGGAACTGAAAAGTTGCAATGTTTTTTGCGACCCAAAGTGGGTTATTTATTGCTGTGAGCTAGTTGTAGCACTAAGATGGGGCAGTTAACAGGCAGGAAAAGAAATCTTTTTGAATGTTGCAGAGATGACTGGCAGCAACCGCTGTTGGCGCGAGAGAATGAGAAAAATGTAGCAGGAGAGACAATCCTTTTTATTGAGCCAGTTAATGTTTATAATAACAGGAAACAAGCTTTGGGATTAGACAGGTTTCTCCTTCAGAGATGGGTGTCTAGGGCAGAAAAGTATGGCTGTGGAATTAGCTCAGATCTTACTGCTTAACTTTTGGGTGTAACTTCTGGACACAGTTTCTTATGCAATGCTTTGAAAGGGTTAGCTTACCCGGGGGCCTTGAATTCTTAAAATGTTTCATAGCCTTGTTTGTATCCATACACCTTGCAACTTAATTTTTTTTTTAATTTACCGATTAAAGTATTCATATTCTCTCTTTACCACATGGACTCAAGGCAGCTTACAACAGTTCATTAAAAACAACAACCAACCCCCCCCCCCCCAAAAAAAAAAACTCAGAAATTTGACTGCCTCAACCCCCCTTTAAAGCCCTGGGTGAACACTACCAATTCGTAGCATCTCTTAAAGACAACAAGAAAACGCACCCGTCCTTTTTACCTTCTCTGGGTACCTCTTCCACAAAGTGGGAGCTACCACTTTAAAGGAACAGGCTGTGGTGGATGGGCAGCTCTGAGTAGGGGGATGATGGGCTAGAAAATTGAACTTTGTGGAAGAGGGGACCCAAGCAACGGATGTCTCCTTCTGAACTAAAACTGCTGAGTTGACAGTGCTGGTTATGGACAAAGTTGTTGTTGTTGTTGTTCAGTCGCACAGTCGAGTCCGACTATTCGCGACCCCATGGACCACATCACGCCAAGCCCTCCTGTCTTCCATCATGCTCTGGAGTTTGCTTAATTTCATGTTCGTTGCACCGATAACACTGTCTAACCATCTCATCCTTTGCCGTCCCCTTCTTCTTTGACCTTCAGTCTTCCCCAGCATCAGGGTCTTCTCCAGTGAGTGCTCCCTTCTCATTTGGTGGCCAAAGTATTTGAGCTCTAAGGAGAAATGTCACATGAACATGGTCATCCACGGATCTCCAAACCCATGCTCCCTCTAAGCTGTGGAGTCTTGTGAGCAAAGAATCTACTCTGCGAGCTACTGGCGTTAAAGTTGTGAGCAAGCAATTTGGCTGCTGCATAAATTAGTTTGCTCTGGAGCCATCCTTCCTGAGCTAAGACAAAAAGGTGTGAGCCAGAGACTTAAAAAACTGTGAGCTAGCTCACACTAACTCAGTTTAGAGGGAACACTGCTCCAAACAGGTGTAGGCAGATTACCCCAAATTTATTTATTTTGATGTATTTCTGTACTGCACTGTCAATAAGCTCGAGGCAGTTTCCAAAACCTCAGTCAGATCCATTAAAACTGCCCGCCCTATCAGTACAATGCAGTAGAAGAGGAGCATTAATATTAGATGAAAAAGTTGCAGCAGCAGTGTAAAGACTTTAAGATGATGGTAAAACCAAGAGCTGCAAAGCAGCTGGTAAAACAACAGGCCAAGTTGAAGGAACTAATCCCTGAGTGCCTGGGCAGACAAGCCTGCTGAAAGGTCAGTAGATTTGGTGCCTCGCAGTGGGTTACAAAGAGGGTATTTGGGAACACAGCATCACAACAGAGAACACCTTATCCTCCGTGGGTACCTGCCTTGCCTCTGTCAATGGGGATGCACCAAGTAGGACCTGTGAAGATAATAAGTTTGGGGCAGGCTGTCCTTTAGATGCCAGGCATATCTTATACTTCTGCTTCAAAACAATCCGACATTGAGTTCTAGGGAGACAAGAGAACTGTCAGTGACTGTTCTGTACCTGGGGATTTCCTAGTCTAGTGGTTTGCTGAATCCTTGTTCAGAAACACTGCAAGAGTGCCTTTTTACGTGGGTGGGCTTTTGGACATGGCAGGGCTTAAACTTTTAATCGGGAGTGAATCTTTAGCACTTTTCTTTGGTTGGCTCAGTGTCGAGCGATCAGTTTTTAAAACGCCATCCCAGGCCTTACAGTATTAATTCAAATTAAAATAGACGCTGCATTCAGATTCAGAGCCAACTTACATTCCTTTCCCTTCTTTCAGCACAATTACGTGCACGGCGAGTTAACAATTGATTAAACTTAGGCATAACTGAGAACTTCCAATGAATTGTTGTTGATCTGTCTTCTATTTTGCTGTGTCATTGTGGCCTGGACCAGTCTAACGGGGCAAAAATCCCATGCTGGCAATCCACTGAACGGCTGTATTCTCTTCCCTCTCCCTTTACAGGCATGAAGCCACATATTCTCAGTGCTGTTTCAGAGATGTAGGGGGCTGGCTCTGAGAGGTTAAAAAAAATGGAAGGCCAGAGTGATGCTGTAGTACCCCTTGTGGTGCTGGCAGCCAAACCACGCTCTGCAAACATGATTCCCCGGTCCTGTGGGCATGTCACACCCCCCTGCAAAATTTCACACAGACCTGGAGATGTTAAGCTTCCCAGTTAACGAGTGAAAAAATGGGGTCTATTTTTAAACAAGAAGGGGAGGTTCCCCAGTTTAATCAGGGGGATAAAAGAAGCTTGTACACTTTAGTTCAAATGCAGTACATATTGAGCTCTGATAATTTTAAGAGCATTTGGGGTCTTCCCCCTCAAGCTCTTTTGAATTTTAAAATACATTTTTTTTCATGTATTCTCATTTATATCCTACCCATTGTCCAAGGAGTGTGGATGGGATTGCCCAATTCCTTTCTTTCAAATTCAGATTTATTATGGTCGAGACCAGCAAGGTTAAAATGCAACTTTAACAACTAATACATATAGTTTAAAATCAGAGCACAAATAAAATTCATACTTTGGCCTTTAGCATTTTCTCAGAGAAATGGTTCCGCTTTCTAAGAGCCAGTGCACAAAACCTTGCCACTGCATAAAACACAGGTTTTTGTCTCTTTCTTCTTTCTTTCTTTCTTTCTTTCTTTCTTTCTTTCTTTCTTTCTTTCTTTCTTTCTTTCTTTCTTTCTTTCTTTCTTTCTTTCTTTCTTTCTCCCTGTGAGTAGATTTTGGCTGATAATAAACTTCAACACAACTAGGTAAAAGTTTATGGGTGTGCACACTTTTGAAGAATAATGGTTAAAATAGAACATTTGACAGAGCTGGTCATGCTCATTTGCCATTTGATTGAGCACATCTCTGCAGGATGTGAAGCTGCCCAGAACCTCTGCCATTTCTTTGCTCCCTCTTGGTCCTGCTGGTTTAGGAAGAAAGTCACTATTCCCACATACATATGAAAGAAGTTGTAACATGGGTGTCCTGTCCAGGGCTCAGCTGAGGTGAGCTAAGCGGAGCTGAGCACCTTCTAAGGCATGATCAAATGCACAGCCACTTAAGAGACTCAAATCATCTTTATTTTCACTCCACAAGTATTCAGAAGATCATTACAATTGAAGCTGAAGACTGGGTGGGAGGTTACATCTTTATGATCCAGGTCAATTCTATAGCTATGGTGAGAAATAGATGGGGTTCCCCCTTCTCCTTGCTGTAGGGATTACAAAATAAAAGCTGGAAAAAACTTTTCCTGGGCTTCTAACTATGCCAGAAGGAACCCATTATGAACCAATCGGGAATTCTATCTAGAACACCTGACCTAAAGGCTTTCTAAAACGACAGTTCCCATTCTACTCTGTCTTAAAAGGAATTTTGAGGCTCCACTTTTGAGAGAACCGTGTGCCAGTTTGCACCACAAACCCCCTGTTCAAAAATAAAAGTGGCCACTGTCTGAGAGACATGGTGAGGAGGGGATGTAAACTAAGTCGCTGCTTTTGTATTTTGCCACTATTTGTTCATGCTTCAGGAATATGGCTTAGGGCTGCTCTGTCAGTTGGAAGTGCTTTCCTTGTAGCAGACTGGGTGACTCCCATGTAGTGCTTGGACCTTGCTCTCGATTTCTTAGTACTCTGAGGCTGTTCTTATCCATTTCCAGCTCCTCCCCTACAGAGGCCTGGAGGAGCTTGGGGCTTATTCGTACCCCTCCTCTCCAGGACCTGCTAAAGTTAACATGTGCAGGTGTAAGAACTGACTAGACAGAAGGCAGCTGCTTCAGTTGTGCTCTTTTGCCCTCTTCGTAGGTCCCATTTACAGTGCTGCAGGGAGAGGGTGTGGAATACCTGGGCCATGCGAGTGACGCCATCATTGCCATCTCCAATTACCGGCTCCATATCAAGTATAAGGACTCTGTAATCAACGTAAGTCTTGTTCTGTGTTAGGCAGCCTTGTTCTGCCAGTGGTCTGTGACTTCCTGTGGGAGGTGGCTTGCAGCAGGGCAGAAGGCCAACTGGGGGTACCCTTTCACCCCTGCTGCAAAACTGGCCCATTTGGGCACTTATCTTCACACACACTCCATGAACCTCATCCACCTAGATTGTGTGCAGAGCAAATCTTTCCGTACAACCCACACACAAGTAAGGAAAGGACTATCGCCAGTCTGACACTGCTAGGGAGTAGGTGGGTCAGTTTCTCTTGTATTGCCTCAACAAAGCCAGACCCTTGATTTGTTTAGCAGGGATATAATGGCATTCAGCTTCCTCCATATTGCCTTGTGCAGTGACTAGTGCTGAGAAACCAGAATTAGTGCACTGGGTGTGTGTGTGTGAACACCATGTTAGTCCTTCTCTGTACTGTGTGATAGGACCCGACTCTGCCGTACTGAGACTCCTACGTTTTTCCTGTTCCTCATTCTCTTGAAACTAAATTGTGATAACCTGTTTTAGCCACGCGTGGGCAAGAGCCAGGCCACAGGGTTGGGTGGCTTCTGCAGCTTGCACACCAGCCTCCTCTGATGGATCTGCTTCTTGCTATGGCTCTCTCTTCTCCTCCTTCCTGTGCGAGAAGGATCCTGAGGGAACGAGAGAACTGCTGTCTGCGCAGTTCCCCTTCTAGCTCCACTGATAAAAGCCACCCCCACCCCCCAATAACTCTGAATAGGAACCGAAACCCGGGGAAAATCCTGTATGTCAGGCAAGGCAGCTGCTGTGCTTTTTGTGGTTGCAGAACCCCTGCAGCTCGGATTCCTGCTAGATAATTTTTTGGCTTTTGCGAGCTGCAGACCGGTTAATGGCCTCTGATGGAATTGGGGCTGAATGCCCACTTTGTTGCTCTCACCTGAAAGCAAAGGGCTAACTTGTGAGCACTTTTGTCAAGCTGAGCACATGAGCTGTGGAACATTTTATTTTCAAAGCATCTTTTCCAGACCAGCTGGGTTGTGATTTCTGGCCTCTTGAAATGAATGTTCAAGGTTCTTTGGCCTTACTGAGCCTCTTTGTTCTTGAAATCCACCCCTTCTCCCCCAAGATGAGTTTCTGCCTAGAGTTATAACGTGTCTGGAAATCTTGAAGTCATCACAAAGGGTTTTGTTCCTTGACCAAAAAAAAAAAAAAGGATCTTCGTTCCTAATCGATCCTAAACTTCCTGTACTACTTTAACAGCATAAAATGCATAATTTATAACTGAGAACAAATAAAATTAGACTGTTATGCGTGTTAATGAAATTTGAAAGTATAAATGTTTTCCTCCCCTACAAAGAAAATTGTAAATATATTCTGAACTGGAGCTGCAAACAGTTGTCCTCATTACTAACTTAACTCATTTTATGTTAGTTTTTGCCATTCAAGTGGTAGGGAAAAATAGAAGTCATAAACAGAAAACGTACATTTTGTAGTAAAACAAAAGCAAGTGATCACAAACACTCTCTAATGCTGTAGATTGTCTTACACAAAATCTGCATATTGTACATTTTGAGATGAGTAAAATCTTGTCATTCCAAAAGAGAAAATATTTCATAATAATTTTTTCAGTGCTCTCCAAAATTTCCAGCCTTTCCATTGGAAAAAAAAATGTTTAAAAGAGCTTGAAGTGAAAAAAGCTATACTTTCCTGCCCCAAAACCTGTTCTTTTCCCCCTAGGTTTTTACATCTCTGTTCCTTTCTTTGCCTTCCACATTCACAGCTAATATCCAGCTTGTGAAACTGCTTCCATTTAGCATTTAGGATTGCATGCATTTTGGAGCCAGGTGACTCTAGGGCATGGCATGCAGGGAGTCCCCTAGGTGTCTCCTTGTGGGTTTGGTATAGTATCTGCCTGCTCACTTGTGCCCGGTCTCTGTTTTAGGTGCCTTTGAGGATGATGGAAAGCGTGGAGAGTCGGGATATGTTCCAGCTGCACATCGTATGCAAGGATTCCAAAGTAGTCAGGTAGCTGCTGCCTGGGTAGTACTGGTGGGCCTGAGTGGCAGAACTGAGCCCCTCATCCTGCAGGGTGGCCAGTCTACCTATAGCCCATCTGCTGTCACCCAAACCTTACTGTTGCCATGCTGGATCAGGCCCAGCATCCTGCAGCAGCCCACCAGACGCCTGGGGACTACCTCTGTGCATGCCGGTTCTGTTTAGCTGCCATGGCTAACAGTCGTCGAGAGACCTGTCCTGGATTAGGCTATCTGTGTTTACGTTAGGCATCTAAACTAGTGGCCATTACCACTAGTCTTGGAAAAGACTACACAAGATAGCACTCACCATGTTCAGATTTTTTGTAGACGTTTATTTTGCTCTCCCCATTCAGTTGTGACACCCCCACCACCCCCCGGTCAGTGTTGTGTTCCTACAGTGGCCTCATTTGGAATACCGTGTACAGTTCTGGTCACCATATCTCAAAAAGGACATTGAAGAGCTGGAAAAAGTGCAGAAGAGGGCAACCAAGATGATTAGGGGGTTGGAGCACCTTCCTATGAGGAAAGGCTGAAGAGCCTGGGACTTTTCAGTTTAGAAAAGAGACGACTAAGGGGGGGACACAATAGAAGTTTACACAATTATGCATGGGGTGGAGAGGGTTAACAAAGAGAAATGACTGCAGGGATAAACAGCTTTTTAAAAGGATTAGATAGATTCATGGAGAATAGGTCTACTACTACTAGCCATGGTGACTGAAGGAAACCTCCGTGTTCAGAGGCACTGAACCTCTGAATCCCAGAGCCAGGGGATTCAGCATCAGGGGAAGGTCTCGGTCTCTGTGCCCTGCTGTTGGCCCTCCAGAGGAACTGGTTGGCCACTGCAAGACAGGATCCTGGACTAGGTGGACCCAGACAGGTCTGATCCAGCAGGGCTCTCCTTACGTTCTTATTGAGAGTGTGCGCTCCTGTGTTCTGCAGGTGCCATTTCTCTACTTTCAAGCAATGCCAGGAGTGGCTGAAGCGGCTGAGCCGAGCCATCGCTCGCCCTACAAAGCTGGAAGACCTCTTTGCATTTGCTTATCACGCCTGGTGCTTGGGGGTTTGCGCTGATGAGGAGGACCAACATGCCCACCTCTGCCGCCCGGGTGAGTTTCCAAGATGAATTCCCAAAGGTTTGGGGGGCAAAGTTGGCAGTCCCTTGGCACGGCATCATGGTGCTGTGCTTTGTTCTCCCCTTTCTCATCTCTCTAATGCAGAGACCTATTAAGAGCTCCACTGGCCTCCAGGACATCTTTGTGTCTGGAGTCCTCTGTGTGGAGCCTTGTTAACCCCTTGTGACTTTGCAGGAGACCACGTCAAATACCGATTTGAGATGGAGCTGGCCCGGATGGGCTTTGACCTGCAGAATGTTTGGAGGGTTTCTGACATCAACAACAATTACAAGTGAGTAATCGGGGGGAGGGGGGCGGTGTTTGCCTGATCCTCTAGTGAGGTTGAAAAAACGAAGGATCCACAGCCACCTTATTACAGATCTAGAGATGCAGAGTCAGCATCCTTGTTGGCAGTGCAGGATGTTTAGCGTAGTTCAGATTCGAAGTGTGGTACTGACTTTGCAAAATGGTGGCAGAATGTCCGCCAGTTGAATTGTTGACCCTGCTTTGCAGACACAGACTGGCTCCTAAATCTGCCGACAGTAATTTAAAATCCAAGTATACATTTTAAAATATTTCTGGGAAGGCAGTTCTTAGCAAGATGTGGAGCCAGGTCGAATGGAAGCGTGCTCAGCTGCCGCCCCTTCTGTCTCTAGCCTTAGGAATTGCTATCCTCATCATGTGGATGTGTGTGTGTGTTCTGTGTTGCAAAAACTCCGGCTGGCGCTGGGCATCATTGTATGTTGTTCCCCCATTTCCACAGGATCCCTTTCAGTATGGGGCCAGGCTTGGGTGGGAGAGCACATTTTGTGGGACCAGGCTTGGGTGGGAGAGCAGAGTACCCGCTCTGTTGATGGAGAAAGCACATTAGACATTTCCAAGACTAAGATTTTTCCATCTGGAGACACCACAAGAAAGTTGCTACTCAGTCCTATAGGAGAAAACAAAATAACGAGTCACCATCAGAGTGGAAGCTAATCTCCTTTCCATGTCCCTGGGGACCCCCCCCCCAAAAGCAGAATCAAGCCTGCTTTGTCTTGCTACATACACAGATCCTTGAACTGCACTGCCTTTTAACGACCACATTTTCTTAGTACCTGTTAGCTACCTTGTCATCAATCAAGATCACCAGGTCTCTTGTTTTCCATTCAAACAGCAGTTCTGGAAACGTCAGAAGTGCTTATCAACGGTCCCTCAATGTGCATTCCATTGCAAAGTAGAAGGGTTTGAAGTCTGGTGTCATTGCAGTTACTCCTGTCTCCGTAGGTTGTGTACCAGCTATCCGCAGAAGCTCCTTGTTCCCGTCTGGATCACTGACAAGGAGCTGGAGAACGTGGCTTCTTTTCGGTCTTGGAAGAGGATTCCAGTGGTTGTGTACAGGTATGAAAACATTTCATGAAAACATACAGTAGAAGACCACAAGTTTAGGGACAGGGGAAGGGACGTGTTGGTGGAGTTGCTGGAACCTGTAGACCAGAGGTGTCGAACTTATTTGTTACGAGGGCCGGATCTGACATAAATGTCACTTCGTGGGGCCGGGCCGGGCCATGTGTGCCATAAAATGTAATGCCAGGTTCCGGAGATATAATAAACTGTATAAAGAGCAGCAGCTGGTAAGCTCCGAGTTGGTGTATCCTCATTGTAAGGCCTCATGGACTGGGAGGGGGAAAACCCATACGGGCAGACTGGAGAGCCAGTGGTGCAGCACTGGGCAGACGCTACCACGCTGCTTGACTGCTGTAGCTAAGGTTGCCCCTCCATGCTGAAGCCACAATCAGAGTGGCTCCCCCCACTCCCCCCGAAGCAGTCTCCTGTTCCCTCCCTTGCACTGGTTGCTTGCTGGCCGCATAAGAGCCCTGGATGGGCCAGTTCCAGGCCTTATGTTTGACACCCCAGCTGTAGACCTTTTCAGGGCTCATCACTCGAGGGGCTCTATCTGATAGTCACACTTCACTTTGTCCACCAAGAATAGATCAGAAAGCAGCAGCTTTTTAACCAGGAAGATTAAATTTAGGACACATGTTAGGAATTTAAAAGAGCAGTTGAGAACTGGAACAATATGTCTGGAAAGGCTGGGGACTGTCTTTCCTTGGAGATTCCCAGAATAAAATTGGATGAGTGTCTATCAGATGTTTTATTTTTAAAGTCCTGGTCTGCCTTTTGATCAAAATCAGACCCTACAGGCATCTCAATATCTGTACATAGCTATAGGGTATCCTGCATCAGAGCAGGTTGTCTAGGATCATTCACCCTCAGCTGGTGGGTCAAGACCCACAACTGGGTCACAGCCTAACCAAAGGTGGGTCCCAGCAGCAGCACTATCATCCTATACATTTTCAGGGGGGAAATTAAGAAGGGGGGGTCCACTCTTGCGTGTTTGGTTAAAAGGGGGGTCAGGGGTCTGGAAAAGTTCAAGATTCTGGTCTAGATGGCCCATTGAGTTCATGGTCATGTCTGTGATTATGTGCTGAGTACCCCTATTGCTGTTCACCCCAGTTTTCGACATAGTCCCATATATACAGGGCCATTGTGGGACAGAGTCCTGGGCAGCAGTGTTCCCTCTAAGCTGAGTTAGTGTGAGCTAGCTCACAGCTCTTTAGCCTCCGGCTCACAGATTTTTGTCTTAGCTCAGGAAGGATGGCTCCAGAGCAAACTAATTTATGCAGTAGCCAAATCGCTCGCTCACAACTTTAATGCCAGCAGCTCACAAAGAAGATTTTTTGCTCACAAGACTCCACAGCTTAGAGGGAACATTGCTGGGCAGTATTCCATTGTTTCTTGTACAGTATCTGCCTTCCTTGGAACATTTTAACAATTTATTCTGCTAACAGTCTTGTGGGGGGCAAAGTGTAGAGACCCCACCTCTAGTAAAGACATTTCCAAGCAAGATTTAATATTTTCCCTCAAGAACCTGTCAGCCAAATATATATATATCTCCATACTGGCTGACTGTCTCTGGTGGATTCCAATATTGATGTAACGTCAAAATTGTGTAATTTGACCTACTGGTGTAACATGGACCAACCTGTATTGCTCGCGTACACTTAGCCCAGAGGCCTCTCTGTTTTAAAGTGGTGGTTTGATTTTCTGAGCGAAGAAAATGAAGTCATACAGTGACTGGCTTTTTGGAACAGAGCCCTGGATTTGAGGGCTAGTTGAACCTGGTTTCTCTTTCAGACACTTGCGCAACGGGGCAGTGATTGCCCGCTGCAGCCAGCCCGAAATAAGCTGGTGGGGCTGGCGCAATGCGGACGATGAGTACCTGGTGACCTCCATTGCCAAAGCCTGTGCCTTGAATCCTGGACAGAGGGTGGCTGGGGGGACTCCGCATTCTGGGCTCAGCGATGGGAACGAGGCTTGCCACGCAGGGTTCGGTAAGTGAGATGGGCTTTGTTCCCCGCCTCTTGTTTTCCACGGGGGCTATATTGTCCCCGGTAGAATTTGGTCCCTTTGCCAGGGTGATGTTAAGCTCTGGTTCATTTGAGTTCCATTGGTACGGAGAAAAGTGGGATATAAACATTTTAAATAAAAATAGTTACAGCGACGTGGATCAAATGAAAAGGGACCCCAGTATACTTTCCAAGTGAATCCCCTGTCCCAAGGCAAGACTGCCTGTTCACCCATCCCCTGAGTTCCAAACCACGGTGAGCCACAAGCAGTAGTGACTAGTATACTACCAAAAGGTTCTTACAAACCAACCCCCTCTATGTATGTTCCTAAGGGGAAGGAAGACCCCTTCCTGACCCCAACTTAGAAGGTGACAGGGAATGATACATTTTCCCAGTTCTGCCCTAAATTTGCTGAAATTAGAACAATTGTGTTGGGAGCACAAAGAACTTTACTATTAAAACATTGCTAATTGCCAATTCATGGCTGTTAACAGTTGCGCATACACTCTTCACCATCGTCTGTTGTTATAGTGAAATTGTGACTTGCAATAATATTCCTTCTCAGTTGTCCACTTCTGTAATCATTCAAACTGCCCTTCATTATGCCTGTTACAATTGAACTTCTTCACTGCAGAGCCACAGGTTCTCCAGATTGGACGTGGTATTGTGGATGTGGTCTTACTGGTGCCCTGCCTAATGCATTTGCTGTAGTAATATGACTGCAGGGAAAGCAAAGGCTGCTCTTGGGTGCTCTCTGTTATCCCTAATAGAAATAGGGAAGTATTGGTCACTTTTTACATGTCACTGCTAAGGCAGTATCTGGAACACTCCAGCGCAGCTAGCAATAACAAAGAAAGGGAGGGAGGGAACTTCTGTTGTATCTGATCAGTATTCCTATTCTAACAGCAAAAATATGTGTTCCATTATCTTTGCTTAGTGCTATTACAAGTTCATTCTGTTTTTACAAATTCAGTTAATGTGAACATAAGAACATAAGAGATGCCAATGTTGGATCAGGCCATAGGCCCATCCAGTCCAACACTCTGTATCACACAGTGGCCAAAAATACCAGTGCCATCAGGAAATCCACCAGTGGGGCCAGGACATTAGAAGCCCTCCCACTGTTGACCCCCCCAAGCACCAAGATGACAGAGCATCACTTGCCCCAGAGTCCCTATCTATACCTTATGGCTAATAGCCACTGATGGACCTCTGCTCCATATGCTTAGCTAATTCCCTTTTGAAGCCGTCCATGCTTGTAGCCGCCGCCACTTCCTGTGGCAGTAAATTCCAAGTGTTAATCACTCTTTGGGTGAAGAAGTACTTCCTCTTATCCGTTCTAACCTGACCGCTCGGCAATTTCATGGAGTGCCCACGACTTCTTGTATTGTGAGAAAGGGAGAAAAGTACCTCTTTCTCTACCTGCTCTTTCCCATGCATAATCTTATAAATCTCAATCATGTCACCCCTCAGTCATCGTTTCTCCAAGCTAAAGAGCCCTATAAGATAATGTGGGTTATCCTAGTTATTCCACAGGTCTTCTCAGTCCTGTGTTTGCTTCAGCTGTTCTCTGAGTTGAGTGTTGCTTGCAGGACAGACTTTGTAGCGCGGCACTCATTCAAGGGACTGGAGAATTCAGACTTCTTTCTTTGCAGATTCATCACTGACAGCAGGTTCAAGTGTGGAGAGTTCAGCAACGCCGCAAAAACTGTTGATCTTGGATGCCCGGTCTTATACAGCGGCTGTTGCCAACAGAGCCAAGGGAGGAGGCTGCGAATGCGAAGGTACAAGTTTCATGGTGCACGTAATGATTTACCGAACCGCTTTTACTTATATTTATTGTATTTATGTAAGTTGGTTTATGGATTAATGTTATATCTATGTTGGTTTTATTAATGTTGTGAGCCGCCCTGAGCCGCTTCTGTGGAAGGGTGGGATAAAAGTTGAACAAATAAATAAATAAATAAATAAAATATATATAACCCTGCTTGGACCCCAAGGGCACATAAGGGGTGGAGCCATGAACAATAACCCAGCCACTTCACTCTCGTATCCCCACCCTACGACTTCCTCCTTCTGTGAGCTTCTCGATTTAGGGGGCTGAGGGTTCAGAGGGGATGCCTTCTTAAGTTTGTGAGTGATCGGACTAAAAGGTACCGCAAGGCATCCTTTCAGGAAACTTATCCACTCCTTCTCATAAAGCAGCTATGCACTTATTTACCACCCATGCACCGTGCGTCCTGCTGTTTCTCATGATCAAGTCAGGGATCGGAGGGCCTGTCCGTTAACTTCTGGTTAAAGTTCTGCCGCGAAATGCTCCCTCCGACACTAAAGGCTGGCAGCCGGCTTATCTCTCAATCCATGTTGTGTTTCAGAGTATTACCCAAACTGCGAAGTGGTGTTCATGGGCATGGCCAACATCCACTCTATCCGAAACAGCTTCCAGTACCTGCGGGCAGTTTGCAGTCAGATGCCAGATCCCAGCAAGTAAGTGGGCAGACCATTGCAGCCAGCGTTCCCATTTCACTGTCGGCTGATCCCTTGCTTCCAGATCAGGGGGCCCTGGCCAGGATGGGACTCTCAGCATGCATTCCTTCCTGCTGGCAGGACTCAGAAAATGGGGATCTCAATGTAAACAAAGAATCCATTCTGCCTGGAGAGCATGCCTGTGCTCTTTAAGCTTTGGATAGGTACAGAAATGTTTTTACATATTTAAAAAAGACAGCTAAGGGTTGGAAATACAATGAAGTCTTATAAAGTTATGAATGGCATGGAGGGAGTGAATAGAGAGATTTCCCCCCCCCTTCCTCTCTTGTAAAACTGGAACTCAGGGATATCCCAAGAAACCGAAGGCAGTAGGTTTGGATCAGACAAGATGAATTCTTTTAAAAGAATGTATGGAATGTACTGCTGCAGGCTGTGGCTGCTAGCTTAGGGGGCTTTAGAGGGGGATTAGAGAAATTCACAGGAGACCACTGGTCTGTGATCAGCGATGATGGCTCAATGGAACCTCTGTGAGGGGGGGTGGGACTGTTGCCTTCATGCCTTGCTCGTGAACTTAACAGGGGCATCTAGTTGGTGACTGCTGGTAACAGGATGCTGGACTAGATGGGCCTTTGGTCTGACCCAGCAAGGATCCACTTACTTTCAGAATATTTTCTACTGCCTCTTTTCAGGACGATGTTCATGTAATTTCTTCCCTATTTATCTGCACAACAACCCTGAGACTGTGACTGGCTCAAGGTTACCTATTTGAACTTAACGGCGGCGCAAGGATTTGAACCCAATTCTCACTGGCCCAGTTCTGCCGGTCTGCCTTTTACACCACATGCTGTTTTGCCTAACTTCTGTTGTCTCCTCCTCTTCATTCCTTTTCAAACACGGTCCGCCTCTCACATGTACATTTGACACAGGCTGGCGACGCCCCTGTGTTGACCACTTCCCTGTCAGCAGCTGTCTCCCTGCCCTTTTCCTGCCTCAGCCCATCACCCTTCTTTTCACTGGTTGCCATGGAAATGCTTTTTCCTACCTTATTGAGGGCTGGTCATTTAAAGGGCTGGAAGGGAGTTTCCTGTGTTGTGTTAGGCTCCTTGCACTTGTTGGTACTTGGTACTGAAATGGTTACAAGGGTTACATCTCTTTTCTCCCTGAAAAAAATAATGAAGACAGTATAGTCTGTCGCTCTAAGTAAAAACCTTCTGTGCAGTTGACTTTTATACCCAGAGTTGGGTCTGAAATCCTCTCTTTCCACTTCTGAAGGCTTCAGTGATTCCTTATGTCATTCACAGGCTTAACGTTCTCCCCTTCACATGTGTACCTTTCAGCTGGCTGTCAGCTCTAGAGAGCACCAAATGGCTGCAGCACCTCTCTGTCATGCTGAAAGCAGCTGTGTTGGTCTCGAACGCCGTAGACCGCGAAGGGCGCCCTGTGCTTATCCACTGCTCAGATGGCTGGGACAGAACTCCCCAGATCGTTGCCCTGGCAAAGATTCTTCTGGACCCTTATTACAGGACCATGGAGGTAGAGTGCCACTGTCATATTGGATTGGACAGTTTGAAAGAACTTATGTGTGTATGCGTGTATACCAGTGTTCCCCCAAGCTGAGTTAGTGTGAGCTAGCTCACAGTTTTTTAGCCTCCTTCTCACACATTTTTGTCTTAGCTCAGGAAGGATGGCTCCAGAGCAAACTAATTTATGCAGTAGCCAAATCACTCGCTCACAACTTTATTGTCAGTAGCTCACAAAGTAGGATTTTTGCTCACAAGACTCCACTAGCTTAGAGGGAGCATGGGAGTCTCCAACTTTGTCAAATCTTTGAACACTTTTTAAATTTTGAAAACAAGATAAGAGGGCTGCAACAAAATGGCTGCCATGGGACCAATGACAAAATGGCTGCCATGGGGACTGGGTCCAGCAGCCAAATGATGGGAGCCTGCAAGCCAAGCATCCTTCTGTAATGAAAGCAGCTGTTTCCAAATGAGAACAACCTGCAGACATGAAGATGATGTCTCTTTGGCTCTTCTGAAGCACCTACTCCTCCAGTGATGTGGAGGAAAGCTGGTTATGGGGGAATCTTTGCTTTGGGGGACAGACAGTTGCCAGGAAAAATAGGTTGGCACCCATGGGTACCATGCTGGGGACCTCTGGTATAGTCTTCCTTGTTTTTATGTTGCTTCCTTGTCCCTTTGGATGTCATCTGTGCTGGCTAATTTAACAGATCCTTGTAGGAGGGTGGGAGTATTCATCTTCTAGCAAAGGCCTGTGTCTTTCTGTAAAGCAAGAATGACCATCCTTTCCATTTGGGATTTTCAGCTGAACAAGCAGTAGGCCACATGTTTTTTTTTTAAATAGACTTTGGTTGGCTTATCAAGTTTGTTTCAGCAATAATTCCTGACTCTTAATAGACAGTGCCCTGACCTGGATGGCCCAGGCTAGCCCGATCTCGTCAGATCTCAGAAGCTAAGTAGGGGGTCGGCTCTGGCTAGCATTTGGTTAGGGGACCACCAAGGAGTACCGGGGTAGCGACATGGAGGCAGGCCATGGCGAACCACCTTGAACATCTCTTGCCTTGAAATCCTACGGGGTCACCATAGGTCATTGGTGACTTGATGGCACTTTCCACCACCAGTAGACACTAGGGAAGACAACACCTGGAAGAAAATACTCTGGCACATGGTGCCTTTAAATGTAAGCCGCCCTGAGCCCGTTCGCGGGGAGGGCGGGATAGAAACCCAATAAATAAATAAATAAAATGGAAATAAATAAACAGGGGAGGGAAGGAAGGTGAAGATAACGAAGGATGGGTGTAAGTAGAGGCAGTGATACAGTTGCAGCTGAGATGAGGACGGGGGGGTTAGCCAGAGGGCTTTTTAGAAAGGTTGGGTTTTGAAGAGGATTTGAAGGATGGTACTACTCAGGGGTCATTTCCTAGAAAAAGAGGTGCAGGAGCTCATTAGCATAACTCATTAGCATAACTTATTTGCATATGCCGCACCCCCTGACATCACTGGAAGTGTGTCAGAAGGCAACACCCACCGCTCAGGCTCCACTGGACTGATTTGGATTGCTAGCTATTGGGGGGGGGGGGAACGTGCAGATCTGTCCTCACAGAGGAAGGAGAGCTTGTACCTGAATAAAACTTGGTCTTAAAGGTGCCACTGGACTGTTTTGGACTGGGGGGCCGGGGGGAGCTCTGAAACTTACCTGGCTGCTTCTTGCTCTAACTGAGGGCTGCTGGGAGCAGGGGGCGGGGCTTGTTGCATGTGCCCGCCCCCTGAGCTCTTTACTGCCGGAGCTCCGCTCCTGTGCGCTCCTGCAGGAAATGACCCCTGGTGCTACTTACACATAGGGAGGGTACTACTTACACTTAGGGAGAATGGGTGTAATTGTATTAAAAAAGGAAAGGGCCTTGGGGTGACTGAACTGGAAGAATGGAGGAGATGGGCAAAGATGTAACGGAAAAGAAGGGCTGAAAAATAGGACATGGCTGTGGAGAGCTCTAAAGGTAGAAAGAAGGCAAGTTATGCTGGCTGTAGAAGTGCAGGGAGTCCACTGAAGGGATCTGAGGTCTTATGACCCGAGCAGGGGAAGAGATGCTTCTAAAGGAACTATAAAGCCTCCAGCCTTTTCTGTGATGGCATGCTCAAAGGGCACAGGGTGCTGAATTTCTTAAATTCCTTTTGCTGGCAGGGTTTCCAGGTGTTGGTTGAATCAGACTGGCTGGATTTTGGCCACAAGTTTGGGGATCGCTGTGGCCACCAGGAAAAGGCAGAAGATCAGAACGAGCAGTGCCCCGTGTTTCTGCAGTGGCTGGATTCTGTACATCAGCTGCTCAAGCAATTCCCCTGCCTTTTTGAATTCAACGAAGCTTTCTTGGTAAGAGCGAGCTTGCACTGAGGCTGGCTTTTCTAGTGGGAGACCAGGCGTGACATCTAACAGCTCCCTTTGGAGACTAGAGCTTGACCATGACTACTGCTGTGACTGTGGTGGTGTTAAATGTTCTGCAGTAGTTTGCTTTTCCTTCAATCAGTGAGTTCAGCTTTTGTCTCCTTGCAGCCAGCCTCTAGTGTTCCTGTGTGGGCCTCTGTTGGTTGTGTGAAATAAAGGTGCCATCTGGGTGTTTGTGTGTGTGTGTACTCCACAGGCTCTTCGGAGGCCTAAGGTTCTCTCTCAGCCAAAGATGGCTACAGCAAAACTGTTGGGTCCTGGAATCAAAATATGAAAAAGGCTTTGCTGTAAGATATCTGGATTGATTTGGCAAGAGAGAACTGTGCACTGGAATGTGTGTGATTCCATTGACCACAGGAAGGTATTAATTGAGCTAAGCACACACAATAATTAACAAGAGCCCAAGACTATGTGTAATAGTATGTTGCACTTTCTTCTCTTTTCATATATAAATTGCACTTAACAGCATGCGGTTTCAGGATAGGCCCTTGGTCATGAGCTGTAATAGCACAGGTGTGATTGTTCCACTACTTCAGCTGTCACCTCTGCCATGAACTCACCAGGTGGCCTCAGGCAAGCCACTTCCTGGTCAATCCCCACTTAATCACCAGTCTGAAACATGCAAATAAAAATAGTGGCCTACTTTTCTGGGCTGGTGTACCGATTACAACATTATAATGTATCTGAATCACCAGGCAGAGAAAGCGCTGTATAAATCCTAAGTATGTTGTTGTTATGCATAAATTCAGATAAACGATAATCCAGCAAGCTTCCAAAGTAATCATTCATGATCTCTTGTATTTTTTGTTTGATTTGGTGTCCACTGTGTTCAAAGGCTTATGTGGTTAATATTTTTAAAACCAGAAAGTTAAAAAAGCACTCTTAAAGACTCTTATGGGAGTTGCATCAAAGCCCTAAAGTGATTTCTCTTGATTCCGCAGGTGAAATTGGTGCAACACACGTACTCCTGCCTTTATGGGACCTTCCTTGGAAACAGCCCTTGTGAGCGAGAGATGCACAACATTGCCAAGCGCACCTGTTCTGTGTGGTCCCTTCTGAGAGCTGGCAACAAGAATTTCCACAATCTGCTCTACATGCCTGGAAATGAGCAGGTGAGTGGTACACCACCCATGGAGGAAGGCTTGAGAAAAGGGGAAGGTTTTCTGCTCTGTTTCTGAGTCTGTTCTCCTCCCATGGCAGGTGCTGCATCCAGTGTGCCATGTGCGTGCACTGCACCTCTGGACAGCAGTGTATCTCCCAGCATCATCTCCGTGTCCTCTCGGAGAAGAGGGCATGGACCTTTACATGCCTTCTGGATCTCAATGCCAGGAATTTAGCAGCCGATCTCTTGACAGGTAGGAGAAAGTGAGCCCAATTTTGTCAGTCAAGAGCCAGTTTGGTGCAGTGGGTAGGAGCGCGGACTCTGATCTGGGAGAACCAGGTTTGATTCCCCACTCCTCCACATGCAGCTGCTAGTGTGACCTTGGGTCAGTCATAAGTTCTTTCAGAGCTGTTCTCTCACAAGCAGTTCTCGAAAGAGCTCTCTCAGCCCCACCTACCTCACAGGGTGTCTGTTGCAGGGAGGGGAAGGGAAAAGAGTTTGTAAGCCGCTCTAAGACTCCTTCGGGCAGTGAAGAGCAGGGTATAAATCCAATCTCTTCTTCTCTTCATCTTCTTCTTCCTGAGATACTGAGAAGCCAGTGTAGTGGTTAAGGCAGATTCTAACTGGAGTTCGATTTCCCACTCCGCCACATGATGCCTGCTGGGTTTGTTTTGGACAAGGGGCTTTGTTATGCACATTTTGAAATGACATTAGATGGACTGGAGGGCCTCTCCAGTAATACTGAGCTTTTCCTGTTCATCTTGAGGCACATGGCCTTAATTGCAGGTGTACTGAGCATTTGCATCTGGGAAAGAGGTCTCTAGGTGATATTAGACTTTCACAGCCATGTCAGGCTGTGTTCTGTTCTGCTGTTTCAGCTGTGAAGATTTATTTTGAGACCAGGAGCCAGTTAGCAGGGCTGCATCTAGAGGGTGATGGTGGCCACCCAGTTTCGGCTCTGTGAGGACCTCCTTAGGGAGTAAGTGCCCAGTCTGTGATACCTCCTCAACTATGTCTTGTGGTTTTAGGTTACCAAAGACAAGATCCATGGATGACCTGCTCTCAGCCTGTGATCCTGGCAGCCTGCTGACCCGCACATCGAGTGATCCAAATCTTAACAACCACTGTCAAGATGTCAGGGTAGGATTGGAGCCCAGGCATCCTAATGCTGAGGAGGCAGCGGCGGGCAACGAGAGCGCAAGAGAGGAGCCATCTCCGGTGCCTGAGCAGCAGGAACTCCATCCCCCACAGCCAGCTGAGACTTGCAGCTCCAACAGTGACAGAATCGATCAGCCACATACGCTGCAGGTGAATGGGGAGACGCAGAAATCAAACTGCATCTTTCCAGAGGTGGTAACAGTTAATGAAGCTAGTCCAGCAGTGGCAGAAGGCATCTGCCCAGCACAAAGTGCTTTGGGGCGAAAGAAACTCTCGAAGGATTTGGTCAGAACAGAGGAGGAGTCGGAGCCGTCTCCCTGCAACAATGTGAAAGGCCTTGGCTTGGAATCCAATGGTGCTTGGGACTTGGCGGAACCTTCCCTCCAGCCTTCAGCATGTACTCCCATTTGGAACCCGCCAGTCCCTAGCGTCCCGAAACAGGATGCTCCAGGGTACCAAAATGAGGAGGACGGCAAAAGCAGCTGTGCCAGGCATGGAGAAGAAGGTAGCCAGATGGGGAAAACTCCTCCGGAGTGGTGGCGAAAAGGAATCTCGCAGAGCCAGACCAGCGAATTCTCTCTTCTAGGAGCCAACTGGGACAGTTTTCAGGGGATGGGGACTTCACTTCCTGGGGGTGACGCGGGTCCTCGGCGGCTCTTCTCCTACGGCTGCTGTAACAAGAGGCTGATTGGCAGGCCCTTCTGGACGTCTGGACTGTGTCTCAGTGGCCAGTGGCCGGTGAAAGAAGGTGCAAAGCCCCCAGCCTGCTCAGGCCATTCTGGCACACACTGCACAGGCCTCGCCGCAAAATCCAGCAGGCTGTGGCTCCCCTGCCATTTGAAGCAGGCGCTCGGCACCAAGCCCGCACCTCCCAACAGCCCTTCCCCAGTGCCTCCCCTCTACCTAGACGACGACGGGCTCCCCTTCCCCACGGATGTGATCCAGCACCGGCTACGGCAGATCGAAGCCACCTACAAGCAGGAGGTGGAGCAGCTGCGCAGGCAGGTGCGAGAGTTGCAGCTGCGACTGGACATCCGCCATTGCTACGCACCTCCGGCTGAACCACCGATGGACTATGAAGACGACTTCGTAAGTGAAGGCCCCCCCCCGGGGGCCCCCCCCCCCCCCCCCGGGTTTTGCTTAGCGAAGGCAGTCAGTCCTAGAATCATAGATTAAAAGGACCAAAGGACTTATCAGCCCATCTCCATACACACATGTGCCCAATGCTCCCTCTAAGCTGTGGAGTCCTGTGAGCAAAAATTGTACTTTGTGAGCTACTGGCATTAAAGTTGTGAGTGAGCAATTTGGCTACTGCATAAATTAGTTTGCTCTGGAACCATCCTTTCTGAGTTAAGAGAAAAAAACGTGCGAGCCGGAGGCTAAAAAAACTGTGAGCTAGCTCACACTAACTCAGCTTAGTGGGAACACTGCATGCACCCCAAAGGTAAAACTATTTATCCACCATCCACTCCCGTTTACTTATTGACTGCACTTTTATCCTGCTTTTCAGCCAAAAATTGCCTCCAAAATAACCAGCAGCACTTAAAAGCCAATATGAATGCTAGTTAAAAAGAACTGCCAAATGTTGCTTGGCGTGGAGGTCCTCGGCACGGCCTGGAGACAGGCACAAAGAAAAGGTGCTGGGCTGCCGATCCCCACCTCCCTCTGATGTCCACAGTGATGGCAGCTGCTGACTGGAGGGCAGGGTGGTGGGGTTCTCAGTTGCAGCCAATGTTCCCTCTAAGCTGTGGAGTCTTGTGAGCAAAAAGTCTGCTTTGTGAGCTACCGGCATTAAAGTTGTGAGCAAGCGATTTGTCTGCTGCATAAATCAGTTAGCTCTGGAGCCATCCTTCCTGAGCTAAGACAAAAATGTGTGAGCCAGAGGCTAAAAAACTGTGAGCTAGCTCACACCAACTCAGCTTAGAGGGAACACTGGTTGCAGCTGGATCCAGGCATGACGGAAGGGTGTGCAACTGCTGAATCTTCCCCCTCTGATGGTCGCAAGCAGCACATCGCAGTCTAGAATAATGCAGGTTTCTTGCACTGCAGGACAGGTATATAGGTTGCCAGGTCCTAGTTCTTTCCTTCTCCCTGTTCCTCCTGTTTGTGAGCACTTTTTCCTCCTCCTCCTCCTTCACCATGTGCATATTTTCCAAGATACACGGCAGCATCTTTTTTGCTGTCTCCCATTCTTCTGTCCTGTTGGTTGGAGAAGTGTCTTTCCTGGTTGGGTTACTGGGGAAACTGACAGTCAAATTACATCTTTGGGTTTTTGTCTAAGTAGATCCAGGTTCCCGGAAGCCACGCAACAGCGGCAGAGCGCATAGCTTTTAAAAAATGAAAGGGAGGCCAGGCAAGCTTGGAATGCAACTGGGGGGTGGGCTCCTATCTCCCTCCCCAAGCTTTCCCCCTATGCTGAAACAACGTTGGGGGGGGGGGTGTTCCCTCATTTATGCTACTGTATGTAAACAGAATACTCCATGTGAACTAGCAAAAACAGGGAAATAATCCCCTCCAAAAAAAACCCCACTGTTTCCATATGAGGAAAATGGCTGGGGGGGGGAGCGGGGAGACAGGAGGCCTTCCTCCCCCGGCAGCAGTGTTTGAAGGCTGTTTGGGTTCTCCTTTTTCACAAGCCATTTCCCTGAGTTGCTGTGTGGCTGCAGGAAACCCAAGTCGGGTCCAGGTTCCGTGGACACCAACTCATCAAAAACTTGAATCTGTGGTTTGGCCCTGAGGTTCAGAAGAGAGGGGAACATGTGCTACATGTAATAAGTAGCCAATGACTATTCTCATCTTCCTTGCAGACCTGTCTCAAGGAATCTGATGGCAGTGAAAATGAGGATTTCTACTCTGACCACAGTGAAGACTGCCTGTCTGAAGCCAGCTGGGAGCCTGTTGATAAAAGGGAAACTGAGGTACGTTATTCATTTGCTTGGAATGACCAGCAGCGATGCTGGAGAGTGGCCAGTGCTGTCGGGTTAACTGTGATGCCATTTTAGAGGAGTAGGATGAGACGGGAGGCGGGATGATACGATGTAGGATAGGCTGTGTGTTTCCAAAGGGTTATTTCTATTTTCCCATCTCTCCTCAAATCCAGGTGTAACAGATTGTCTCTTTTTTTGCTCCGTTTAACAAGAACTATTCTCCAGTTCAGGTGAATGGGTCTCATCCACTTCAGTATCCTTTCTCTGGCAGTGGTCAGATCTGGATGCATAAAGAATTTCGTCACGGTGTAGTGTTCCAAGCCTAACCCAGCTCCTTATTATTTACTCCGGGGAATAGTTGTTCTCCTTCCGACTTCTTTTCAGATGCTTGAAAATGTTCAACATGTTGTCCCTTTCTCTGGGTGAAACGTTCCTTCTACATCTTGTCTTTTCCCACTTCCATCATCCTTTATAGTGTTCCCTTCTGAATTCTTCAAACATCCCTTTGTTCTTGCTTGCCCCAAAGGATTCCAAGCAAGCCTTTAAACATACCTGGGTCAGAACATTGAGCCACGTAATGAACAGAGCCAGAGTGGGCCCTAATGTTAAGGTGGTTTCTTTGCAGGTCACACGCTGGGTTCCAGACCACATGGCCTCACACTGCTTTAACTGTGATTGTGAGTTCTGGCTGGCCAAACGCAGGCACCACTGCAGGTAACACTCAGCAATTGTTATGCTTACCCTTTCTTCCTTTCATGTGGTTCTTTCCCGCTTCATCACTGTATCCCAGATATTTATTGGGGACTGGGGGAAATGAAAATGCACCGTGAATGTTTCGCTGTTGGGAAAGGAATTGGCAGGACATGGTAACTCCTTGTAATTGCATTTGGCCAAACAATGGCAAGCTGCCATGAGCAGTCTTAACTGTTGATTGTTTAGCATAACTTAAGGTTATGGGGTGTTTCCCATTTAGAATACAGGCAGGAAAGCAAAGATGTTCAAAACATCACTGTTTTAAATAAAATCTTTGTTTAGACATGTATATCTTGCCTTATTTCTCACTCAAGGCCAGTTATATCTTTTGGTGTTACAATATCTTACTATATATTTGCCGTTCCCTGTTGTTACACATTTACAAAGGAAACTCGGATTTCCAAGGGGGGAAAAATCAGGACATTGTATGTCTCTAGAACAGCAATCATTCATTATGTTATATGGGAAAACAGAATTTTGTGATGGAGGGCAGCTCACAATATTTTAAATATTTGAATATTTAAATATTTTTAATATTTTTAATTGGTGATCTGTAGATCACAGGTTAAGAATTACTGCCTTAGAATACAGTTGAGATCATCAGAGACTGAGAGAAGACAATGGATGTATGAGCAGTAAGGATATAGGAATGCATATGAAGGGAGCATATGGCACGGCATTCAGGTGGTTGGTATTACTCAAAAGAAAATTGCTAAGGGAGTTAGAAGGGGTAATGGCATTGTACAAAGAAAACAAGTACAGGTTACAAGAGGTCACAAAGATGGGACTGGAACTGAATTTTACAAGCGGGAAAATAGTAGGGCTGAGATGGAAGTGCTGGGGGGGAAAGGTGGTCTGATAGGACTGAACAGCAGCCCAGCTCTTGTAGAAGGATCTTGCAGACAGGCAGCCACTCTTCTGCCATTCTAACCTGCAAGCAAAGCTAGCACCATACCACACTGCATTTATTCATCCCGGGTTCCGCTGTCCCCACAGCAGGTTCATTTTTTAGATCTCATGTACTGCAACACAACCGAAAGCACAATATCAACCAACCAATCCATCCCTGAGCCAGCCATGGTTAAATCCAGTCTCCTGTCTTAATGCAAGATCCCCCACAGTCCAGCCTCATTTTGCCCAAGGTGAACTCTTATCCGTCTTCTGTCCCTTGCCCAGGAACTGCGGGAATGTGTTCTGTGCTGGTTGCTGCCACCTGAAGCTGCCCATTCCCGATCAGCAGCTCTACGATCCAGTCCTCGTCTGCAATTCCTGTTACGATCACATCCAGGTATCCCGTGCCAGGGAACTGATGAGCCAGCACCTGAAGAAGCCCATAGCCACAGCTTCCAGCTGAACGTCAGAAGAGGGAGCCTGTCCAAGCCTGGCCTTTTCAACCTGCAGACTGGAAGGGAAGGGCTGCCTCTGCTGCAGCTGAGGAGGTCGGTAACGCAGCGCTTGACCACCAAGCCTTGTATGCACTGTTGGCGATTTTCCCCCACTTGGTGCCCCATGTATTGGAGATGAGGAAATTGGATTAAAGAGTGTGATATGGCCCACGTCACGGTACCGTGTATGGTCTGAAGACCTGAGGCTGAATCGGAGACCGCCGTGTCTTTCTTCAGAGGGTTGGCAAGTGATGTGGTGCAAATACTGCCTTGTTCCCCAAAGCAATAGGAAGGCATGACCAGAATGAGACCCTCTTTGCCCCACCTCACAAAGGCAGGCAGGCTGAATTGTGCAAGACAGAAGGCAGCCACTGGGTGGTCTATCTACAGGAGAGCTCTGGCTGCAGTAGTAATATTTCAGTAGTGTTTGGCTTGCCAGCCGCTTCCCTGGAGGGCTCAAGGCCAGCACTAATACCAAAAGCAGGAGGAAGGACTCTCTTATCAAGCAGAGTGCCTCTCTGCACATTCCCGGTCATCTTTCAGGGAACGGACTCTTTGCCCCCCAGCAGCTGGGCTGTTGTATGCGGAAAGCAGAGTCAAGTGTGGCTCGCTGCTCTTCCCATCCGCCCGCTGCGGGTGTCGGGCAGCTGGTTCCAGCCGGGTGTCTTCACAGGAGCGACACCTCGAGCCTCCCTGGATCCGCACCACCGGGTGTATCTTCCCCTCCCTTATTGCTGCACTTGTGTCTCCCTCTTTCTGGTTGCTCTTTATCCCGAAAACCTGATGCCTGGAGGGCAGGCAGACGACCTGGTTTTCTTTTCCTCCTGGAACGTGCTGTTTAGTGTGCTTGAGGGTCTCAGTCCAAAATGCTGCTAATGTTATTTCTCTGCACTTAAAACTGTACTCTGGAAAATAAGTGGGGGGGGGAGGGGATGCCAATCTCATAAACGGGAGACGGAGAACACTGGCTAACGGGGGACCCTTTCCCTGTTCCTGCCACTGCAGATGGTGCAAGGGACAATAAAAAGACCATAACCATCCCCGCAAGAATGTTCTTTGGCTCATTCTGAGGTCAGTAAATTCCTCATTTGGAAATAGGTCTCCTGCCATCTGGCTGTTCCCCTAGTGGATATTTTCACTTCCATCCAAACAAGTATCAGCCGGCACTTTCTGAAAGGGGAGAGAGAGAGAGAGACTCTGCTGACATTTGCACCAGTTTTCATGAGAAGGGCCCAGGTCATTTTATCCTGCAGCATATATCTGTAGTTGAGGGGCGTAGAAGAAACAGGATGGCGAAATGTATTCCTCTTCGCCAATCCAAGGGTCCTTAGACCCTCCATGTTGGAAGGGTGCGCAGGTCCTCTTGTCCCGATAGGAACTTGAAAATGCTACCCCCTCCGTGACCGAGCGTGAATTTGTGCCAGCATCTCACTCTTGGCTGGATTTTTAAGTTGTTAGCAGATTCAGTGTTTCTCTCTACCATTTCGCTACCTTCCACATTTCAGCCTGCTTTCGGTCTCGAGCCTAAAAGCCAGTATCATCCTCTTGACACTGGATCCCTCCCTGAATTGCTCCCGTGGCCCGTTTCAGGGAGCGAGTCACTACTTATCGGTAAATGGTGGGATCTTTTAATTTGCCACGCTCTGAACTTTTTATCTGTACAAAAGTGTATATGTATGAAAGAAGGAGAGTTCAGATCCGGTTGGATTTTCAGCTCATTTGCACAAACTGCAACAACAAAAAACCTGGAGAGAAAAGAGAGAAAAGAAGTCAGCCGTGGTTAATCAGAACTCCTTTCAGCTCTCATGAATTTGTGTCGCTGTCTTCAGGCAAAACAAAAACAAAACCCACCCTCCAAAATCAGATCGATAGCTTTGTGACAAAACAATGTGCTGTAAGAAATTCAATACAGTGGAATAAAATCTCTATATTAGTGCTGCTTTGTTGAGTTGTATTCCTGAATGCTCTTCCTCCTTCCGTTCACGGCTGGTTGCCGCTGGGCCTTCCTTTGTGGCTATAACTAGGGCTGTGTTCCTTTCTAGGCAAAAAACTGGCTTCTGTGAATTGCAGCTTTTGATAAATAAAACTCAAAAGGATAGGGTGGTGGCAGAGCATATGAAAAGCTAACAGAAGCCTCCTTAACCACAGCCCAAGCTTTGTTATTGGCACTTGATTATCCAGAATGCGGAGTTAACTTGGCACCACGAGAGGGCAAGCTCCAGCCACCATACCCATGCATCTTCAGGCACACACATTCCCCACTTACTCCTCTGCAGCCAACCGGTTTGATGTCTCCAAGTTCTTGCAGGGTTTCTGACAGTCGGTGCAGCCAGTTGACATCATCCTCAGGCACCACTTTCCCTCTTAGTTTGCCTCGAGCTGGCAGGAGCCAGCTGTACCAGACAGTCCTGGCCAGTCTGCTTGCTCGGTAGCATGGCTCCATGGCTCAGGGGCAAGGGTCTTACCAGGTGTGGGAGCTATTGCCTTGGGGTCCCCAACAGGGCGGGGGTTGGGCACTGCTGGTTCCTCTGAGAAGAGGCAGGGGCAGAGCGAATATGCTGGAGGATCTGGCACTTTTGATTAACTGGCAACCCCCATTCCGGGAAAGCTTCTGTTCCCGCTTTCTCTTTCCCCTCCACGTTTCTGCCATGAAAAATGACCCTGGCACATGGGACTTGGGCCCATCTTGAATTTTGGTGAGCACTGCCACTGGGTGTGAGCAGCTGTGCAAACTGAAATCGCTGTTTGAGCTAGCCTGCTCCTTGTGCCCTTCAGCAAGTCATGATACGTCTATTTGCACGACCACATAGGGAAAACCATGCGGGGGATTTTTATCCTGCCAGCCTCCTGCTTCAGGATGCTGCACCAGAAACCACATTAATATCACAAAACTATAAAATGTCTCTTAAAAACAGAGGCAAGGCAATGGAACACACAGAGAAAAAGCCCAAGGATATATAAGCAAACTAGCCTTGTCATTCAGAATCCTGCCTCCTGTCCTCGAAGAAAGCCATGCACCTTGTTTTCAGGGACACAGTCGTGTGCACATTTCCTTGGGAGCAAACCCTATTAAACTTCGCTTCCAGTCAAATATGGCCAAAACCACAACAGTGTGCAATGACCGGCTGTAGTTGCCCAGCAGTGAGTGGGAGAAAAGCATGTTGTACACAGTAAGGAGTACTCTGTTCTAGAATATTTCATACCAGTTTTCTTGGAAAAGGGGCATGGCTACTTTGTTATAAAAATAGTATAAAAACGATTTGTGTGGGGTTTACAAAAAGGTAGAGAGCTGAAAGATCAACAGGATTCAGGAGATTACCTTTTTTCCCATTTACACCAAAGAAAAAGCCTTTGACGGAACAAAAATGGCCATGGGGGGGTGGGTGAGAGGCTTAGTGATGGGACAGCTGCCATATTTTGTCACAAGTAGGAGGCCTACTGGATGGTGGCCTGAGACCAGGGCCTCTGAGAGGGAGGGCCAGCAGGGCCTTTTGGCCTGTCCCTCACATTCTCGAGGGGCCTCAGATTTACCCTTTTGGTGTTAACTCTTCATTTGGTTATAGTTACAGACACAGAAATACTAGCCTTCCCAATCTCCCGTTTTCAGTGGGGGCCCTCAAAAATGGAAGTGGCCCGGGCCTCTCTTTGCCCCTGTGAGGGCCTGCCCGAGACACACCTTATTAGGATGGTTGCTGTGGCTGATGGTCAGGGCCGGCTCACTCACTAGGCGAACTAGGCAATCGCCTAGAGCGGGCCGGCCCTTAGGGGCGCCAAGCTGCACCCGGCCCCGTACTCGGGGAGTTTCTTGATTATTTGTGTTTTTAATTCTTCCTAAAATGCATTTATTTTTGAAAATTGGTGGGTGCATGGGGAGGGGGGCGCCAGAAGGGATCCTCGCCTAGGGTGCAAAATAAGCTGGGGCCGGCCCTGCTGATGGTGGTGCATGCCAGAGGTGCCTCAGTTGAAAAGACTGGCCGACCGCTGTTATAAGCTTAAAACACATGCCTAAGTGGGATACTGAACAAAGTACTGATACATTAGGAGCTTTTATAAATAATGATTAATGATTTTAAGTATGTATGAGCTTGTTACTAAGGGCCACAGTAGATGTTTATTTATTTATTTATTTATTACTTTCGTCTTACTATCCCGCTCTAATCCCCGAAGGGGTCTCTGAGCGGCTGTACAGTTATCCATTATCCCTATCTAAGGCCACAATTCATCAGGGGTGGGGACATCCCTACCAGCACCCAGTGGAGGGGGGGGGGTTGTTCTTTCCTCGGGTCTTTTTTCCCATCGTCTTTCAGCTGCGGCTTCTGGCTCCTCTTTTTCTGGCGGTCCTCTTTTCGCAGCGGATCGGTAGGCCCCTCTGGCGTGCAGCATGTTTGACACCAGTTCAGGCTGGGGGGGCCTCCGACCCAGCTCTTAATGAGTTACAGCAAAGCATTTCTGTCTCTAAATGAAGTCTGCACCCATACCAGATTAAGACAGGAACTGGAGCACCAGGGGAGAGCAGGCATCAGCCTTTCCCCATGCCATTTTCTGAGCAGCAAGTCCAGGGGTCTTTTTGTAGAAAGAGAGCTGCAGGAGCTCATTAGCATATGGTATGTTAATGAGCTACTAGGCTATTAGCATAATAGCTCATTAGCATATGCAATGCCCCTGCCATCGCCGGAAGTGATGTCAGAAGGGGAAGCAAAAGGGGGGGGAAGGCATCTTCAAAAGTCTCCCCTTCCCTGGGGGGGGGGAGCGAAGAGAGAAGGGGTTTAAACTTTAAGAGTTGGGCCACAGAAGGAAGAAAGAAGGAAGGAAAGAGAGAGAGGGAAGGAAAGAGGAAAAGAAAGAGAAGGAAAGAAGGAGGGAAAGAAAGAAAGAAAGAAAGAAAGAAAGAAAGAAAGAAAGAGAAGGGAAGGAGGAGGAAAAGAGAGAAGGAAAGAAGGAAAAGAGAGGAAGAGAAGGGAAAGAAAAGGGGAGGGAAAGAAAGAGGGCAAAGAGATGGGGGAGGGGGCAGGCTCTCCCACCCCCCAATCAAGCCTCTGCCACCCCCCACGGATCCCTCACTTACCCTGGGAGGTGGCAGGGAGCGTCTTCTGGCCTCCCCCGGGCTGCAGCGCTCCGGTGCTGGCCCAGGGAGACGGTGACGGGCATCCTCTGGCCTCCCTGGGGCCGCAGCGTTCTGACGCGGGCCCCAAGGAACTGGTGATGGCCCTCCTGGGGCCTCCCTGGGGCCACAGCGCTCCGGCACAGTCCCCAGGAGCCGGCGACAGACCGCAGCGCAGAGAACTGGAGGCAGGGCTTGCTGCCACCGCCATTTGTGCCAGCTCCTGGGCTCCCAGAGCAGCGCACGGCCCCAAAAGACCCCTGGCTGCAACTACTGGCCGGCTGCTTACTTTCCCCATTGTGGGCATGGTTCAACCTGAGAAAATGGCACAAGGGAGCCATCTTTTCCCATGCTCCTGATCCCGCCCACCAAGAATTTGCAAACTTTGTTTTAAAGTAGGAATATTTGAGTCTAAGCCCATGCAAGTCACATGCACGGACCCATCTGGTTTCAAGTGTCATATCTAGTTTAAAACTTACTACTAAGCGAAGGGAGGGGAAAGTATGCCTGTTCAGAGGCTCGTTTATTACGTTACATGATATTGAAACATTACATACATATGTGGGTTTTAATAGAAGTTCCAAATATTTCAGATCCTTAACCTTTTTAGTGATACATATGATTAAACTGAGAAAAGCACCAGGTATATGAGGTGCTTTGATAAATGTTGATTCAAAACGTGTGGGATGAACTACTGCACTTCCAATGTAGTGGTGGGGAGATAAAAGGGATGATAGCGTGTCTGTCTTCAAAAGTACGTTTGTTATTTATCAAACAGCATGTACATAAACTTCAAATATTTTCATAATTACAGGGCTGGGGATGTCAGATCTTTTAAAAGGATCTGTAGGGTTAAAAAGGATTTTTCGACTGCAAGACTGTCAGGGAATAATAGAATAAAGGCGTATGTATGTGTGGATATTTAGTTTAGGTATAGGATTAAAAGGACAGTGTTATGGACAAGATGTTTAGCCATGTTAGTCTATCATAGTAAAATAAAACTTAGTCCAATGACACCTTAAAGATAGGGTTGCCAGCCTCCAGGTGGGGCCTGGAGATCCCCCGCTTTTACAACTGATCTCTAGCTGACAGATCAGCTCCCTTGGAGAAAATGGCTGCTTTGAAAGGTGGACTCCATGGCATTGTACCATGCTGAGGCCCCTCCCCAAACCCCACCCTCTCCCAGATCCACCCCCAAAGTCTCCAGGTATTTTCCATCCCTGAGCTGACAACCTTGTTTAAAGGATGGCACTAATTCCAGCATGAGCTGTTTTGAGATTACCGTCTAGAATTTTTTTTAGGTGAGGTCCTCTCAAGTGAGCAAAGAAAAGCAAAGCTGCAGAGTAATGGCTCAGCTCAGGAGATGACTTTTATTTGGGGTAATCTTTCCATCTGTAGTCCTTGAGCAAATATTTGTTCGAGTTCCCCCCCCCCCTCTACAACCCCAGCCCAGCTACATTTTTTTTTTGTCCCACTAGGAACCTTTGCTTTTAGATTCAAACATCACCCTATTTCAGGGGTGGCCAAACTTGCTTAACTTAAGAGCCACATAGAATAAACGTCAGTTGTTTGGGAGCCACAAGACATAAACAAATATTACACACATTTTTATTGGAAAATATGCAAATTTGCTTTTTACTAACATTAAATGAGACTGCCAAAAATAAAACAAAAAGGGTAAAGACAGATATTGATAATGATATTTATTTGTCTAAGAGAGAGGTAGAAAGAAAGAATGACCATCTTGATCTATCTGTAGCAGTAGAAAAGAGCAAGAGTCCAGTAGCACCTTAAAGACTAACAAAATATGTGGTAGGGTCTGAGCTTTTGTGAGTCACTGCTCACTTCGTCAGATATAGCTAGAATGTGAGTCCATCTGTCCTGATATCACAAGGTTGATGGATTTCCATTTTGTAAGGCTAAATGTGGTCCCTTCGACCCTGTTAGTCTGTCTGTCTGTAGCAGCAGGAAAGAGCCAGAGTCCAGGAGCACCTTCATGACTAACAAAATGTGTGACAGGGTATGAGCTTTTGTGAGTCACTGCTCACTTCGTCAGATACAGCTAGAATGTGAGCTCACCTGTCCTATATATTGGAAAGGTGCAGCGAGTTCAGATGCCGAATGACATTACAGGCAAATGACAACAGAAGGTCTGATTGAATTAAACCCCCGTTAGATTGGACTCCCATTCGAACTGTATCTGAAGAAGTGAGCAGTGACTCACGAAACCTCACCCCCCCCGCCACATCTTTTATTAGTCTTTAAGGTGAGCTACGAGGACTCTTGCTCTCGCCTACCATTTCAGTCAGATAAAAGGTTTTCAGGCAGGAGAGAGAGAGAGAGAGAGAGCGCGCGGCCTCGAAGGCGATGATTGACGGCGGCGTCCGTTGGAGAAGCCGGCCGGCCTCAACCGTCCGTTGGGGGGGG